CTGTCCCAGATTTGAGAATAAAGTGGGAGTTTTGTCTTTTAAATAACTATTAGTTTCTTGCTTATGAAGACAGGCATTGGCACCTATGTGTCTGCTACAAAGTCTGTCTCAGTAGCATTTTGTCAATCTAGTAGGACTTTTAAAATAGTATGGCTACGTACTACTCCAAAGGATATGTGTGGGTGAAACAAAAGAATGGCAGTTTAGTCTTACATTAAAAACAAAACAAAACAAAACAACAACATTCTTCTCCCCGCCCTCACCACTGGGCAAGTTGATTCTGATCCATGGAGAACATGTAGGACAGGGAACTGTTCCACAGGGTTTCCTAGGCTGTAATCACTATGAAAAACTGCCACACCTTTTTTCCACTAGTGGCTGGTGGGTTTGAACCTCTAACTTTTCAGTGAGCAGTCAAGATCCACTATTCAACCTGGACTCCTTGCCCTGGTTTTTTTCATGTCCAAATTCACCAAGAACATGATCAGCATAATTGTATCACCTGGGTTGGAATTTATTGGCATCCCCAATCTGTAGAATTTAATACTTAAAAAAACCTAAGTTGTTGTGGAGTAGATTCTGGCTTATAGGGAACTTGTGTGTGACGGAGTACACTTTGGACTTTCTTGGCTGTGATTTGTACAGAAGCAATTTGCCAGGCCTTTCTTCTGCAGTGCTGCAGGTTGGGGTGGAACCACCCACATTTAGCTTAGTGTTCAAGAGATACCTACTTGCATTGCCCAGCGATCTTTTCAGTTGAACCCAGAGGTTAAAATACCTGAAGCTGTAGAAGGGCAAGTGCAATATCCTAAACTCTGGACTAGTCCATTATCTACTAGACCAAATATCTCTAAATTGACTGTTAAGCTGATTTGGGGTTCTTGCTGACGAGCTCTGGAAAGTTTCAACTATTACCGACCTTGAGGTTGTGAGAAGGTTAATGATAACAGTAGGGCATCAGTTAATTTTAATGTTCACATCTTACCTAAGAGATTCTTTAAACAAACAAATAAACAAAGCCAAGTGGAAAATAGGTTCTCTTTTAGTTTATTTGTCCCAATGGTTTAAAAAATCAGCTTTATGGAATAATGATCTTCTTGGTGACAGATGGACCTATACATTAGTGTTATGCAGCCAATCAACACTTTACATTTGAAGAGGAAGGTGAAGAAACTGAATGTAAAGACAGACTCAGCATCTATGTGTCATTTTTTTCAGTTTTATAACATTGATACAAAAAATAGTATTCTGGTTAGCAGCTTAATTGGCAACTCATGTAACCCTAAATAGTACTACAAATCCAGAGAGTGCACTTTCACTGACAATTACTTTTGGTGAAACAGTATGTACAATTTTGACAAATAAATACATAAATACAATCATTCATATATAACGATATACCTACAAGTCAATTATCATCAACAAGCGTTTCTAGTAAATTACTTCTTTCATTCACAAGTTACTCCCCTGCGTATAAAAACGATCTTCACCTTTACAGAAGAAATGACATAATCAATTTCCCCACTAAACCCACATATTAGGAAAGGTAGAAAATGAATCCCAGCTACATTATGCAAATATCCCACTGTCTTTTGATAGAAGAGATTTGATTGAAAAACTCCTTCCTGGACTCCTTTGAAAAGTGTTATTTCCCCCACATCATATCACACAAAGGGATTTTGTTCTTCTGAATTTAATCCAAATAAAAAATGATCGTCTTCATTTCTTGATTCTGGTTATTTTAAAATACAATACTATATGTTGAAACTGGCATTTGCTCCAATATAAGAAGACACAAAGCCACGCAATTAAGCCACTGAAGATAACAGTTTCAAAAAATACATAAATTAAAAAAGAAACTTTTCGCATACAGACACTGATTATTGATACCTATTGTTACCCATTACATAATAAACAGAATAGTAGAGAGGACAGTAAGAAAATTGTCAAAATTGTCTGAATGATTCCTTCTGGTAAATTACTGTCTAAAACATTTTATGTCATGGAAATGATAAATCCATAAAAAAGCTTAACAAATCATGGAAACTATAATTATCATCAAGTTAACAAAGGTAGAAAATTAATCCTATTTCTTGATCATTTGACATAAACATTTCTTTGAACATTCAAAAAACAAAGGGCAAACACATGCGTGAGGCTATTAAAACGCTGGACCGATGGCCTTGCATCACCAAGCTCCATGCAGAAGAAAATTATCTGTAGCAAGCAGATTCTAACTATACATACAACTGGGGAGACGAAAAAAAAAAATGCCTTTAAAATATATACATGTGGTATCTGATGAATATTTACATATATCTCACATGGGCACTACAGTCCTTAAAAAAAAAGTCAGTGAATAGTCCTTTCAGACAGATACGTCTCTGATTTTTGCTCCTTTTAAAGATTAGGGCTCTATTCATAACGAATGTGTACATATATATATAAAACAATTCATAGGTGTACCTATATGATGTTGATATGTGCAATTCTTTGATACCAAAGGTGGTTTTACTGAGAATAGTGTAAATGCAAGACAACAGTAAGAGATTGTACCGCAGGACTGAAAGGTGAACCGCATACAAAGTCATGGGTCCTTTTCAATGATCAGAACTCAATGGCAGTTGAGGCTACAGGGCTGGAGGGTGGCTCACCTTGGACTGATCCATCTCTGCCAGGCTACCTAATGCTGTTCTTGGATCAAAATCAGCAATCCGCTGATCCTAATGGATGAGAACTTATGCTTCATATTAGGTTCTTTGGATTGGGTTTGAGAGATGTATGTTCAAGAAATACACCAGGAGATCAATTTGTTGGTTTCATCTACATATTTTTTGTTAATTTTTCTAGGAGCATCCAGGGGTCAGGTAAATGAAAATTAAGGTGTACTCTCAGTTGTGGGGCTTTCTATGAGTGAAACCAACCAGGAGTTTTCTAATGGATGGTAGAAGATCTGCAATGTGTGGGTGGTGATATGTCTGCTGAGTGTCTATTCTTCTGCTACAGGTGGACTAGACCTATTTGTTCTAAAAGTGCTTAGAAAGGATTCAAATGTTTTCTGATATCTTGGTTGGTGAGATGTATCTTGAGAAGCAAGTGTTTCAGACACAAAATACACTCCAGCTGGAGCTCCTCCCTAAAGAAAGGCAGCTGCTTTCACTTCCAGCATCCTGGGCTATCACGGCAATTCACTTATTTAATAACTTATTCACTGAAGTAACAAGAAATGACAGAGAATTTGAATTTTCCTAAACACCTAACTAATACCCAAGGAAAATTCAAAGTTTTGGAAGGATCAGGTCACTGATGGCCCCTAATTGATCTTCATTTGGCAGATTTTGTATTATGATCATATTATGATTACACTCACTCCTCACTTATCAACATATAAGGTTCCAAAGACCAAGTTGTTCTGTGAAAATTGATGCTATGCAAAAATGGAGGATGACATCAGATCACAAAAATACGACTACATCATTGCAAAGTGCCAAATTACATCATCACATAACTGCCAAACCACTGAGAATCGTGGTCCAGCCAAGTTGACACATAACCTTCACCATAGTCACAGCCAGTGGTTACTCATAACTCCATGTTTGGTACTATTAGATGTACATTGCTAATGTGCAAAATAGTCAGATGATAGATTTTTTTTTTTTTTTTACCGTGGTTGTAACTGGGAAGTATCAGATAATGGGATAGTCAACAAATGAGGAGTAGGTGTTCTGATAACCATCATTCATTATTACATAGTCACTTTAGCAGTTAGCATAATGCATGGCACATTGCATTATGTAGCACCTTTTAAACTAAAGATTTCAAAATACTTAGCAAATGCTATTTGCTCTCACAGCACCTGGGAGATCGGTGGTATTTTTGTTTGTTGGTTTTTTTCACATCATTTTATAAATGAGCATACTGAAGCACAGCAAGATTAAGATACCTGCTGACCCCAGGCTTCCCCACCTTCTTTCCCATGAACCTCAATCACAGTGCCACAAGAACATCTCATGATAGCATTGCTGCTAAAGGTACTTGGGTATTCCAGAGATTACAGTATTACATCTATCAACTGCAGGGCCAAATCTTTCAGCAAAATTGGTACCTATTAAAGATTTTTCTTTCTTGCTTTGCAAATGTATTTGAGAGGCATCTTATACTATTTGCTAAGCTTATGTTAATTATAATGCATACATAAACTGGTATTTTCTTAGTACGATTTACCTTTCTTCTGGCCTCCTATCAACTTATTTTCTACACATGGAGACATGTGCCTGCATGATTCAGAAACTGTGAAATTCACTTAGCGACATTTTATGGAGAGGAGCAGGCAAGATTACGTTTGGCAAAGTCTCCTTGGAGGCACTGTGTAATGTTTTCTGAAAGAAGCAAAAAACCCAACACTTTTGTTTACTTTGTTAAGTAGCATTTTATATACATTCCACCTGCTGACCAGGTTTACTCCTTAGGTGAGTAAGCAGAGTTGTCTCTCAAACAAAGAATATTTGATTCTCAAGGGTAAATTTCCATCGATTTAACTGCTGCCTCCTCACCAGTATTAAGTTCATTTCTTGGTGGAAGTGCTAATACTGCACACCTTACATGGCAATCGATGTAAAAATTCAATGCAACAATAACACACAGTATTAATAATGAGACCCAGTGTGTCTTCCTGACTGTGCTGCATTTCTGAATATTTAAAATATTTATTTTTTGTTGCAGAAATGATATGAAGACATTACTGTGAGTTTCAATTTCTCAGACCCAGATTTTAAATTTTAGATGCACTATACCTGATTATGTAAATCCTAAGGGTTGTGTGAAACTCACATTTTGATATAAATGATAATACTGTAGGACCTGAGAATGATACCTGGCCCTTGTAGCTCACGTGTTGTTTCTATGACTAGAGCCTAACATTCATAAATTGGTAATTAAAGAAAGGTATTAAGAGCGGGAAGAAAACACTTTGTTACAAAACCCCTTCTCTTGTTCATTTCCCCTGGTGACACCTGTAAAATACCAACATCTTAGGCCCCATTGCTTAAAAAAAGAAGAGTAACATATTTACACTGGTAAAAATTCTAACATCTGAGATGTTTCTTGCTCGACATGTCATTCCAGATTCTGTGCATTTCTTCTGGAGAGATCTGATGCACCGTTATGACGCGACGATACCTACACAAACTATAGGCCATCTTCCAGTGATTGAAGCCACTGTTCTGGAAAGGATGTATACCCAGCTTTCGAAGACACAGTCCCACATACACATCTTCAAGGTGAAGCAGCCTCGTGTGGAGTGAGGTTTTGTATATGAGTTCAGCCACGTCCGCTGAAAAGATATAGCCAGTCCCAGAACAGAACGGTGGGTAGTTACTGTCAGGGTATAAATCCCTGGGCATATACCATTTACTACGGACGTCCCGGATTGGCCCTCCATTGATGACATAGCCAGTAAAATATCTTCTCCTTGGCTTGGTGGTGGGCTTCAGTAGTTTATAAATAAGATTGTCCATGTTTACAAAAATGTCACTGTCTGTTTTCATGACATACTTGGCTTTTGAACAAAAAGTGGCCACCCATCTCATTCCCATCAATGTTTTCAGGGTAAGGTTATGGTAGGAGTCAATGAAGTCCTCCACGATGATGTCATGGAAGATCTGGCTCTCTTGCTCTACCATCTGATTCAGTACAGGATCAGCATTCTTGCCCAGGAGGAAGAGAGTGGCTATCTTGATCCCTTTAAAGTTGTTCTCATCTCCCCACGTCTCTCTGATTGCTTGGCGGGCATCGAACTCCTTGTGGGTAGTGCTGATGAGGATGACAAGGAAAGGAATGTTTTTTTCACATTTGTTGGGCTCATTTATAAGAAATTCAAAAGAATGTGGGTTTATAGGTCGAGTTCTTATGTTGCCAAAAGTGAAGTTTTTTCTGGCAACTGTTAGGTGGCTAAATGGCTTGGAGCCAGTGTAGGAAGAAGTAGGACGTGTTATGCTCAAGTACCAAAGAGCACTGGCCCAGCACACAACTGTCAAAACATATAAACAGGAGACCTTTGAAGCCATTGTCTTGACAGCGCGTCTATTCCAAATGTTGAATAATACGCCTTTTTGACACTAGTTTTTTTTCATCTTGCAAAGACAGCATAGTACTAAGAAATCTTAAAGTTTGATAGGGAAGCGTGAGTGTGGGATTGTTCATGAGTCTCAATGGCTGTCTTGCATTTCAGTCTATGTCCTTGAATCTTACATCCAACTTATGTTCTTCCAAATCTGATGGAGGCTTCCATGCTTCATAAGTTGTCCTCTTAACTCTGAAAAATAAAGAAAGCACAGATGCTCAGATTTATTTAGTCACTTTACACCTGGACATACACATAATAAAAGTATAAGAATTGTCCATAATAACAAAAATAAAGGATAATCATTAATTTCCTCCAGTACTAAAGTCTTTCTGGTATACCATCTCCACTTTTCCTCTCTTGTTGATAGAAGCTATTGATGTGTACACTCAAGTTAGACAATGTACTCTACATAAGCATTTGTAATTTTAAAACTGTGTAATGTCTTCCTCCTAGATGACTAAGAAGTGAACTGCGCATTAGTAATTTCAAAACTATATAATGTCTTCTTCTTCACAGAGGCCTTCTTTGTGGTTAAAGAGTTTCTGACACTAAAATCTCCTGTCAGTCAGGAAAGTCTCACACGTGGCCTTATAGATTTTTGGCATTTTTTTCAAGTTTGAAATTTTGTTTGCTTGACTCTGTCTGATGAGGGAACCAATTCTGAGCATCTCTTTACTTTCCCTAATCCTGTTTTTGAAAATGTGTCAATTATGACCGGAATATTTCTGCTAATACCTATGCCCCCTATGGCTCTGATTCAGAAGTAACTCATGTTTTACCCACTTTTTCTCGGTCTGGGCTCTCACAACTCTGCTTTGAATACTTGATTTTCTATGAGACGTGCTATGGAGAATTTTCTTACCTCTCTCCTCCTACACAGACACCATCAAGTGTCCTTTCTGATAGCCACCAGCATTCATTCTGGAGTTGATCTAAATGATAAATATTGTATTGGTTTTTGTATCTTTCAACAAGTCACCATACGTTCCATTGATAAAACTACCCTGGCCCCTTTAAAATCTTTTTACTTCATTATAATTTGCCTATAAATATAGCAAAAGTATAATAAGGGGGACCATTGTGCTTGGGGGTCCACAAATTCAATGAAGATGTGACAAAGCACTTTAACTGGTGTTCAAATTAAAAAGTTGTCCTTAGGATCTCTAAGCCTTTCTAGAACATCAACTGCTATCATTCCTGTTAAAAATATATGCCACTATTCAAAGTCCATTCATGTACAAAATTGTCTCTTTCTTCTTAGTTAGAATAGAATGTGGTAATCCTGGAAGACAGAGATAGCACATAACATATAGCTATTTCAACAAGGTCAGCTTCAAAGAAAACAGTGCACTAAAATGCATGGATTGTGTTGAAAGAATTTAACTAGGGTTATAGATTGAAAATCATGTTTCTAAGCATCCTAGTTATAATGAAAAGAAAAGGCCTGATGGGCAACAGCAGAAGCAATAGACATCCTCTTGTCTAGGCCAAAAGCTGCCTATGAATATACGATCCATTCAAGGTCAGCAAGAACTCAGTGTGGTTACAGTTCTCACTAAATAAATATTAGAATGGCTTCAAACAGTATGACTCTAGGCATAGTCAGGCTTTCATCCAACCCACAGTGAGTATTCTCTAAATATAGGCTTCAGTAGATTTGGCCTCCTGGAGGAAATTTCTGCTCTAAAGCTGCACCGATGCTGATAAAATAAGGGTGTGATGTACAGCAAGCTTTGGAGTGTTCAACAGTAAGTGAAAAGAAGTAGGAGAAACTAGTGGTGGAGACTTTAGAAAAGGATTTCTCAACTTGGTATACACAGATACCCACTCCATTTCAATTCCAAAGGGCTGTTAGTGAGGTTCATGTTGGTACTAGAAACCAAACATTCTCCACCATCGTTAGAGTCTATGTAACTGATTCTGAGAAAACAACAACACCACAGTTACAGTTGAGACCATTCAGACACAGGGACTCCATGTTTTAGAAAAGAATTGTATTTCACAGGGTTGTCAGTTGTTGTGACTATTCAGAAGCAAATCATGAGGAGTTCTTCCAAGGTGCTACCAGGTGAATTTGAACCAATAACCTTTTGGTTAGAAATCAAGTGTTCAACAGTGTGAGCCAACCCCCTGAATCTTATAAATGTATCGTTACCATCGTATTCCCTTGTCCTCTTGCATACTTTCCTGCCAGATTGTGAGCTACCTATTATAAAGGTGTCAGGAGATTCCCAAAGGGCTTCACCTGGAACAGGCTCCTGTCCAGTGCTGGTTATTTTCTCCTCGACCTACACATCAATTTATGAATGGAGAATCTCTCTACTCTATATGCGCCTTGTTCTCCTTTTTATTGCTCCAACTCTGTTCCTGCAGAGTTATTTTCACAACTCATTATCCTCTACTCAGTGGCTCTTAACAACAAAAAACCTTCACAGCCAAGCCTTCCTTTAACCTTGCCTTTCTTCATTCATTTGCTAATTTACTTATTCATCAATCAATAAATCAGACATTTATTGAATGCCTTGTGTATGCCGGGTATAGAAAAACCGAGCTACGGTCTAGATCCTGCCTTAAGGAACTTATAATCTTGGAGGAAAGACATCAAGTGAATGATGAAAACAGAGAGATAAAGGTGCTCATCGCAAGGCTATTGATGCAGGAGAGGCCGGTGGGAAATGGTACGGGAGAACTGGGTATAGTTTTGCAGATTGTGCACAGTACAACTCTAGAGGGCGCCATTCACATAGACTGCAATGTGAATTATACTTGTTTACTTCACATCAGAGTCATTTAATGCAGTTGCCCTGGGGAGGATACTATGGGCAATTTAGAAAAAGTAATCTAAGCTAAATCTTAAAGCATAGCTGGAAATGTAGTGCAGTAGGCAAATCTGCTACATAAGACCTCTTTAAAGTGTTAAAGAGCAAAAGAGATTAGGACTAAGGTACACCTGACCCAAATCATGGTATTTTCAATAGTCTCATATGCATTCAATAACTGGACAATGAATAAGGAAGACCATCGAAGAATTGATGCATTTGAATGATTATGTTGGAGAAGAATATTAACAATACCATCGGCTGCCAGAAGAATAAACAAATTTGTGTTGGTAGAAGTGCAGCCAGAACGGTCATTAGAAGCCAGGATAGTGAGATTTCATCTCTCATGTTGTTGTTGTTGTTAGGTGCCATCAAGTCGGCACTGACTCACAGCAACCCCACACATAACAGAATGAAACACTGCCTGGTCATGTGCCAGCCTCACTATCGTTGCTCCGATTTGAGCCCACTGCTGCTGCTACTGTGCCAATCCATCTCATTTCGGGTCTTCTTCTCTTTCTATGACCCATTACCAAACATGATATCCTTCTCTAGGGGCTGGTCTCTCCTAATAATAAGTCCAAAGTATGAGAGACAAAGTCTGGCCATGCTGTCTTCCAAAGAGCATTCTGGCTGTACTTCTTCCAACACAGATTGATTTGTTCTTTTGGCAGTTGATGGTACTTTTAATATTCTCCTCTAACACCATACCTTAAATGCATCAATTATTCTATGGTCTTCCTTATCCACTGTCCAACTTTCACTTGCATATAAGGTTATTGAAAATACCATGACTTGGGTCAGGTGTATCTTAGTCCTCAAACTGACATCTTTGATCTTCAACACTTAAAAAAGGTCTTGTGCTGAAGATTTGCCTAATGCAGTACACTGTTTGATTTCTTGACTGCTGCTTTCATTAGTGCAAGCCTTTGCTAACTTCAATCTTTTCTCCATTTACATGGATGTTATTCATTGGTCCAGTGGTGAGGATTTTTGTTTTTTTTTTTACACTGAGGTGCAACCCATACTGATCTTCATCAGTAAGGATTTTAAGTCCTTTTCGCTTTCAACAAGCAAAGTTGTATCATCTGCACATCGCAGATTGTTAATGAGTCCTCCTCCAATCTTGATGCCATGTTTTTCTTCATAAAACCAAGATTATTGTATTATTTGCTCAGCATACATACAGAATATATGGTGAAAGAATACAAACCTGGTGCACAGTTTCCTATTTAAACCATTAAGTGTCCCGTTAGTCTGTTCGAACAACTGCTTCATGGTCTATGCATAGGTTCCTCATGAGCACAATTAAGTGTTCTGGAATATTTATTCTTTGCAATATTAATCTGTAGCTTAGAAAGCCTTTGTATAGTCAATGAAGTACAGGTAAACATCTTTCTGGTATTCTCTGCTTTCAGTCAAGATCCATTGGACATCAGCAATGATGTTCCATGTTGTCTTTTGAAACCTGCTTGAACCTCTGGAAGTTTGCTGCCAATGGTTACAGTCGTGTTTGTATTATCTTTAGCAAAATTTTACTTACATGCAATAGTAATGATATTGTACAATGATTTCCTAATTCTGTTGGGTCACCTCTTTTTGAAATGGGCATAAATATGGATCTCTTTCAGTTAGCCAGGCAGCTGTCTTCCAGATTTCCTGGTATATATGTGTGAATGCTTCCAGTGCTGTATCAGTTTGTTAAAAGATTTCAATCAATCCCGAGTGACTTGTTCTTTGCTAATGGCTTCAATGACCTTGGACTTCTTCTTTAAGAATCATTGTCCTTGATCATATGCTACATCTTGAAATGGCTGAACACAGACCATTTCTTTTTGATATGGTGAGTCTGTATTTTCCTTCCATTTTTTTTTTAAACTTTTTGCATTATTTAATATTTTCACCATAGGATCCTTTAATATTGTAAGGCAAGACTTGAATTTTTTCTTCAGTTTCTTCATCTTGAGAAATGATGAGCATGTTCTTTCCTTTTGGCTTTCTAACTCCAGATCTTTGCACATTTCGCTATAATATTTGATCTTGTCTTTTCTAGCTGCCCTTTGAAAATTTCTATTCAGCTTTTTTACCTCCTCATTTCTTCCATTTCTACACTGGAAATTTAGTGTCAGAGTTTCTTCTGACGTCCATTTTGATCTTTTCCTTCTTT